TCCGTGACAGGACAGCTTGAGGGACGTACCTACGACGTACGTGGGTTCGGATACGGTAATATGTCCGTAGCTCAGTGGTACTCGGCTGGTAAGCGAAAAGTCTTGGATTCGACCCAATGGCAGATTGAATTTTGTGATCGCTTCGTCGGTTTTTTTTAAATATAAATATGAAGCGTTGTGATTTAAATCTGTCGGAGTGTTATTTCGTCCTTGAGAAAGTAATGAGTTCTATGTATAAATTTTAAATCCTCCATATAATCTACGCATTTTTTAAATACTTACCTTACATGTCACATTAAATGAATCCTTTTAATGAAATTTATTATCCTATCCTGACGTATCCTGAACGTATTTTTCTCTCAAAAACTTGCGTGCACACTTGTATTTTTTATATCCGAAAAATGTTGGTACCAAAAAGACATCACTATTGTCGAGTACGCAAAAATGAATATAAAATCGTCGGCTATTGAATATCCTTGTTAGGGGGACATAATAACGACCGATAGCGTGATCTCCATGGGGCAGTTACAAGGCTTCCACACAGTGGTAGAGACGCTATATGAAGAAAGTATAGCCTGTGTAAATATAATTAAAAAGTTCCAAACGAAAAAAATGCCAGTAACAGATAGTCCGTCAGACAGATGATAAGAAAATATTGGATATGTAAGACCACTTATGTACCTGGAATTACGCAAATAAAGAAATTTGATTTGATTTGATTGATTTGATTTGATTTGACACGATTTTTTTCTTTTCTTTAATATTTTAAATAATAACAGTGCTACATCAAGTTCAAAAGGCGCGTGACGTCACGCCTAGGTAGATTATTTTTACCTAAAAGTGACTTCACGCGACTTTTCAACTCAATATAATACTGTAATTATTAGATTTTGAATAAATAAAATAAATAAATAAATCTGAAAAAATACGTGTCCAATATTTTTTAAAGTATCTGTCTGACGGACTAAATACAATTTGGATTTCATTACCCAGTCCACATCCCTATCGCTGCTTATAAGCTCACAAGGAAGTGTTGTAACGTCATTTTTTTGTAAGCCAAGCTAAAATATGAAGCCTGTGCTATAGCCACGGTTTTTGTAACATATTCGAAACGTCAGGTGAATTTAAAGGTATTTTTTTTTAACTTTGACAGCTCCAGGTTAAAAAATATTATATTTCAAGTGGTAATTCAATCTACGACGCTAGAAATTTTAGCAAAAAAAGCCCGTACTTGTTTAAAAAATATAGTTGGATAATTTTTTACCAATAGCATCATAGCTCTTTAAAAGATGTAAACGTAAATTAGCATTAACTGGACGACAAGTACCAAGGGTGTCTCATTAAATGTCCGGGGCGGGTATCGAACCCCCGTAAGGACCTTTACAAACCTGCTACAACAGGTTACATGGAATCGCTGAAAGTGTGGACTTGAAAAAAAAATACATTTTTTTTTTAAATTGCTTAGAACATAACAAAAAAATTGTTTTTTTTTTAAATGATAATGTTAGCCATAGCAAACTATGGCCTACTCACTAAAACCTGACGGTAAAAAACTTTATCGCGCGCGTCGTATCAATAACCAGAATAAAAACTATCCTATGTCCTTTCCCGGGACTCAAACTATCTCTATGCCAAATTTCATCAAAATCGGTTGAGTGGTTTAGGCGTGAAAGCAAGACAGACAGACAGACAGAGTTGCTTTCGCATTTATAATATTAGTATAGATTGTGAATGGTTTTTTTCCCCACGGCCATAGTGAAAATACTGTTCCACCAATGTCATTACGAGGGCGGCACTGAAAATTTCGGGAATCAAGGAAGTGAAACAACATTACTATTTAAAAATGTATTTATTGCTTTTTAAAGTATTCTCCGCGAAATTTGACACATTTTTCCATACACGAAACCAATAATTGAAGCAACCATTGCATTCGGAAGTTTGGGTCTCCAAAATGGCCGTTTTGTAGGCTTCCACAGCTTCTTCAGGTGATGAAAATCTCTGACCACGCAATTTATTCTTTATTTTTCTTTGTCCCCCAAGAGGAATAGTCGCAACATGGCCGGTTTTGGAGACAAACGTGGCCACCATTTTTTTTGCAACACTCCGTGAACGAACAATTTTTGTTGGCTTTAATTCATTTTCGAACACCCAAACTCGTGACTGGTTTTTTGTTTCGGGTTCGTACGCGTATATCCATGATTCGTCACCTGATACGATGTTGTATACAGCATTTGAGGATTCTGCATGTAATCTCCCGAGAGTTCTGACGCACCAAGTAACGCGAGCCGCTTTTTGCTCTTCACAGAGCGAATGCGGTATCCATCGGGAAAACAACTTTTTTACACCTAATTGTTTATGCAAAATTATTTGTATTTGACTCATGCCAATGTCTAAAGTTGTCTGAATTTCGCGGTATATCACATGTCGATCTTCTTCAATCAGCTTACGCACAGCATCAACGTTTTCTTAGGTGACTGCAGTTTTTGGACGACCTTGACGGGGATCATCACTGAGCTTGACACGTCCACGTTGAAATTCAGGAAACCAGCGATAAATTGTGGTTTTGGATGGGGCTTCATTACCAAATGCAGAAATCATCCGGTCAACACACTGTTTTTGTGTTAAACCACTCCAAAAGTCATAATAAATCATCGCTCTTGAATTTTCTCGAGTCAATTCCATTTTCTCAACGACTAAACAAGTTTGACAAGACCTTGTGATACGACCGAGAATCTTTATTTAAATAAATAAATGGTATACGATTTTTAAAACCCTGGAGTTTGCAATTAAATAGATTTTAATATGACTGGAACAGTGGAAATATTCCATTCCCGATACTTTTAGTGCAGCCCTCGTATCATTACAACAATAAAATATACATTTTTTTAGACTCAAGTTCAAACTCACAGCAATCAAACCCGTTTAGCTATCACAATAGCATATCCGAAACATAGTGACGGCCGTGATTAATCTGAGCTGAGCGGAGCGGAATATCGCTTTTTTGGCTCTTTTTGCTTTTTTCGCTCTTTTCGCTTTTTCGCTCTTTTCACTCGTACCGTAACACAATGGGCGTTCACTTCCGGGCACAATGCCGGTTTTTTGGCATATTGCTGACATTAATTTTTGTTAATAAAAACGGAAATTTGGCTAAGAAAACGATGATGATGAAGCTAAAACATGTTTCTTTTGTTGAGTTCTAAATAAGCTCGTTTGAGTTTTATCTGCAACTAGCTGACCCGGCGAACTTTGTTCCGCCTTAATAGCAACTAGCGGCCGCCCGCGACTTCGTACGCGTGGATCCCGTTTTACCCCCTTCATCTATCTTACGCGGTTTAGATTTTTTCATACAAATGTTTTTTCCCGCTAACTCCCTGTTCTGCAATATCCTGTTGTAACTAAGCTTTAATTTTACTAAGGTACCTGCATGCCGAATTTCAAGCGTCTAACTTAAGCGGTTCAGATTTTTCATACAAAACGATTTTCCCGCTAATTCCCATTCCCGTGGGAATTCCTAGGTATCCTATAACCTGCCCAGGAGTATGAAGAATAATTGTACCAAGTTTCGTTAAAATCCGTTGAGTAGTTTTTGTTTCTATAAGGAACATACAGACAGACAGACAGACAGACAGACAGACAGACAGACAGACAGACAAAAATTTTACTGATTGCATTTTTGGCATCAGTATCGATCACTAATCACCCCCTGATAGTTATTTTGAAAATATATTTAATGTACAGAATTGACCTCTCTACAGATTTATTATAAGTATAGATAAATAACGGGATAAAAAGTATCCTATGTCCTTCTCCTGGCTCTAAACTACCTCCCTGACAATTTTCAGCTAAATCGGTTCAGCCGTTCTTGAGTTATAAGCGAAGTAACTAACACGACTTTCTTTTATATATATAGATTTTTTGTTTTGATTACGCTAATAACACTGTACGTCCAAAGGACAGGTCCATCTATCAGCCCTGTAAAGGCACGTTCACACTAAGGCACATTTGATTTTCTGAAAATAATTTCGGCAGTCACAATTTTCGAATAAGTTTTATAGTAAGTAATATAATAGGTGTATCAATCATAACTTTGTTTTCACTCAATGGAAAAGTAATTTATTATCGAAAACAACCAGAATAATAGGGGAAGCGTTTTGAGCAACTGAAAGTAAACATTTATTACCCCGTCTTCTCGATTAGGTACTGAAGTAAGCTATTTTACAGTACTTTTTTCCATAATCGCTTAAAATTAAAAGTAAAGAAAGATTTTCTTTGCTGGGAAAACATCGATTAAGAAAAATAATGTCAAAATATGCGGTCACTAGATTGAATGAAGTACAATATCACGTTCCAAAGATCACTCAGTGCGAACGAGGCGTAAGGTGGGTAACCCTATTCTCGTCTAAGTGCGCGCGTTCGTGTTTCGGTCACTTAGCGCAGTGTTTGACGTGCGCAAGTGGTGTCGCTTTACAGGGCCCACTTTGGACGGACTTTTGCGTGTCAACTCTTTTGGAAAATACTGATTGGAAGTGAAAATGGACGTATAGGTGGTAGTGACTGAAAAGAATTTTAAAATTTGAAAAAAAAAATCTTTTGAAATATCTACGAGTGCAGTGGCACGTGGATTAACCAAAGGCAATCGCAAATATCTCCTTTTGTCATAGTGGTTAAACTATAGATAAATTATAATAGGTAGCACGTAAAAATAATCATCAAGAGTCAAGACAGACGTAAATAATACTTGTTAATCTCAATTTTTTGAATAATAATCGCACCAAGAGAAACTGTCACTCATAGAGTTAACTATAAGTTGTCTCAATCAACTCAACTTTGCATTGGAATCAAAAAAACACAAATCACTAAGTAAGTAGAGAGCTTGGTGTCAATAATAATTTTGATAAAAAAAAATCAGTTTTCTATTTGCGCAGACTATAATTTATACTAAAACAGAAAACTACAAAAATTTAATACTTTTAATAATAAAATGAAATGAAGTAACTCACCTTTGCGAATTCAATTTTGAGCGTGCAGCATCCAGAGTATATGTCGCAGCCGTGAAGCGCCTCTTTCGCTCGCGTCGCCGACTCCACACTCTCGAACTTGTGGCGACGGGTTAAGGATCATATTCGTTTGGCAAGTTGGTTAGAACAATATTTAACTTATGAACAGAGAAACACTGGGAGTGGATTTTGTAAATAAAAATGTTATTACATAAAAGCAATAAATGTACAGAGCTTAGAGATAATTTAAACTGAAAATATGTCCATTGTCCATTGGTTGGTACACAATTTGAAAGTAAGTGGTAGAAGTAAGAAGTTCTGGGTATTTGTAGAAGAAACAATGCTAAAAACAAAACATTACTTATGTTTTTTTTTATTGGAAATAAAAAACTTTCAAAAATATTATATTTTCTCTACACGCTATATTCAATATCGCGTAACATCAAAGAAATTTTTTGATGATATAAGTGACGTAAAAATGAAGAAGATCCGTGACGTCACACCAATCAAGAGGACCCTCGATCGCAGATGGCGCTGGCGTCAAAGTGTTATTGCGTCGTTGGAGACGAGATTACCACGCTAGGGGGCGCGCCACTTCATTCTATGGGATAACGTCTAAGGATGCGGTGAGTGGGGGTAGATTAGCGATTTTGTATTTTTTGACAGAATGGTGTTTGTCGCTGAAAAAAAATCATCAATATCTACTACGTATTTTGATAAATTAGTAAACGAAAAGGTATTTTTCATTCAGGTTTTTAAATTACTTTGGAGATTGGCAGGTGCTGCCTTACGTTGGAAAAAGCCTAATTATGTACTATTAAAAATGATAAATCAATTGGTTTCAGTCCATACATGGAGAAAAAAATAAGAAACTATGTTTTTGGGCATCACTAGCTCCTAAATAGAACCTTTTACCTTAATAAACAGCGTCACAATTTTTAAGATTTTTTATTATTGATATTGAAGATGATGATCAACGGCACATCAAGCGAAATACTGTTGCATCTTATGTAGTTACATTAGGTACTATTTTTCAATAAAAATGTACAGCTTAATATGCTCTCTAATTGTTTAAAAATAGATGTAACTGTAACCTCTGCCTACAATCTCAGTCTCCCATTACAGTTTCAAAACTCAAGTAATTTAAATAAAAGGTCAGATCAGAACCCAACAAAATATGTAAAACCGTAATTAGGAACGGCGACCTTACTTGTTTTTTTATTAAAAAAGATCCCGGAAAAAAATCCTTTTGGAAACATTTCCAATTAAATAACGGGAAATCGGGGGAATATTAATGGGGGGAAGTTGTTGTCATCGTAAAGTTTTTTTTATGTTTGTATATACGATTTGATTTGATGAGTAATCTTTTTATGGTTTATTATTGTAATTGTAAGAGAATTACTTTATTTCATTAAATATTTTTCAAATATTTTTTTCTTAATTTGACTAATAAAAATTACAAAACATGTTCAAAATTCTAATTCTTCAATTTTGTGTTCCTTTTTATCAGTTTCTTTTTATGTTTATTCTTTTATTTTGACAGCCGTTTGGTTTTGTAGAGTACCGACGAAAATAATGTTTTAAAGTAGTTTCTTTATATTCTTTGTCTAGTACCCATAGAGAAAGCCTTGAATAGTTTGGGAATTTAAGGTGTAGTGTGAACAAAAAAAATTTTGTGTACCTATCTTTTAACTTTATGACAAATAATATCGAAATTAGCACAAATTCAAATTCATTTATTCACAGAAATACACGTCCATTAGATGTTTGTAAATAATCAATTTCGTTACAGTGTACCTTGCCATGACTGGCATGTGAAAGTTAATTAGGAGAACATGTCAAAATATTAATAATCTTATGAAAAGTCATTTGATAAAATCATAACAATGTCAACAATCCAATTATACTAATCATTACAATTAAATGTCAATTACATAAAATAACACACAACCAATATTAATACATAAAATTTCACAATTATTTAATTCTAAAAAAACTCATTTACAGAGTAGAAACATTTATCGAGCAGCCACTTGTGCAATACATTTCTAAATTCAGGCATAGAAGCTCCCTGTATATAAGCTGGCAGTTTATTGAAAACTCTTATAGCCATACAAAATACATTTCTTTTATATAACGTTAAATTAATTTTGGGCAAATACAATCTGTTCTTGTGGCGAGTAGTCTTTTCTAATACCTGTTCATGCGTCTTAAAATTATCAGGATGTTTTTTTACAAATAGGCATAATTCCTTGATATATAAACATGGCAATGGCAATATTTTTAATTTTTTGAAGAGTGGCTTACAACTATCTCTATAGCCTGCCCCACACATCGCACGCATGCATTTTTTTTGTATTTTAAATACTTTTTCGGAATCAACAGAGTTCCCCCAGAGAATAATTCCATAATTTAGTATAGAGGAGACATAACCGTAATATGCCGACATCATTGCTTCATTGTTTGAAACGTATTTTAATCTTTTTAATACAAATACAAATCNCGTTGTTCTTTACCAATAATCGTTTACTGGCACGTAGTTCAAATTGGAGTTAATTTTCGATACACCTTCACTGTTTACACTTATTCAGTTTTTCTTGATTATTATAGTTTATTGATTTAAATTTAACTTTGTTGAGTAGTCAAATAGTGTTTTTGTCATTGTTTTTGCACTATTTTGCACACTTGATGTTTTTGTTTCACATACAGTATTTTCGTCCCAAACACAAATAACACTTTTATAGTTTTCGTTACAAACACTGTCACTGAATATTTGGCCAATGTTTCACACGTTTTTCACATTTTTTTGTCAAAATGATAACTTTAAACATTTTTAAATTATAAAAGTTCACGGAGCTTATGTTTACTCTCAACCTTTTTACGCTTAACATTGAATCGAGTCTTGAACATCATTTTAGAATGCAACTGTCATTTAACCCAGTGCAAACGTTTTCAAAGAACAGAAAGTGACATGGAACTGACTATAAATAATTATATTTCATAGAAACGACAAATGAGTCTTAGTGGTCTCCAAAAACATATTTTAAATCTTATTTCGTCTCTTTTATAGTTCAAAATATATTTGAAATTTCAGCCGTTACCAGTAAGGTATAAATCAAGCGTGCGCGAAACGGGCGACAAATGGGCGGTTTTAAATCAAAGATGCGCGAGCGCAGGATGACTTATTTATGGGCTCAGGGCTGTCCAATTGAATACAAATATATTTACTAGTGTAAATGATGTATTAGATTGAAAATCTTTATTGGACACTGTCAAACTGTTCTATTAATTTATTTTTTAGTTAGTGTTTTGCGTGGCATAATAACTGTCGTAGTCCTTCATATACCAGCGAATCAAGACACAACAGTAATCAATTGTTACCGCGGTCTCATGTGGCCGCTAAAGGTTCCATAATTTTGTAAAAATTTGAATAAAATCGAAAAAAAACAATGTTTTAAAACAATATTTTGTATAGCAGTCGGTATTCCAACACTGACACCGTTTAGCTACTCCTAGATTTCTTAATTTTTATTATCACTAACTTCGAACTTTCATTTCAATCATAGAGATCTAGAGAGATGCCAACTAATGCGCTGAGTTCTAACTCAGTGTCGCATTAGAAATTCACACACACAAAGTAGTCAAAATAAAAACAATATGTCGAGAAGAGTGTGTGTCATCATGCACACATTGCATTCAGTGCCACTATACGTGCGATTGAATGAATTATGTTAGTGTGAATGTGCTCATTATCCACTGCGGTATCAGTACTCAACGTCCGAATAATCTTTAGTGCTACGCAAGCAATGTAAACTTTTTGACATATGTATACGATGTCACTGCTATTATCATTGCTATCGCGAGCAATGTGTTCTGTTTATGAGCATATTGCTGAGACACCGGCCCCGCCCCCTTTTCACATCCCCTTTTAGTTTCTGTGATCTGTGATTTCAATATTTATTTACTTCGAATGACATTTTATGGTGACACTGCATAGACAAACATCTATGTTAGCTATACTAAATTTTCAAAACAAACGGCGAACAAACCTCTTTTCCACAGTGCCAGCCGCGTGCTCAGCCGGGCCCGGCGTATCTCCGAAATGCAGTTTGTTTGTGAAGTATTAGCACATATTGATGAGAAAGACCATAGTTCCATAGGGGCTGGATCCCGCACTCATTAGATTCACTTGATTTTGGAAATTGACAAACGCTTATGTGGTTGCCGAATTAAAGAACACACCGCTGTTGCGCACGGGCGTCCTTCCGAACTCAAAACTCTTGCGTCACTGGGGGGCGTCGCAATCGCAATCGCGAGCCTAGCTCCATAGGATTGGAAAGAATGTTGCCAGTTTGTGATTAAAAAATGCAATTAAGAAAAGGAGCAAATTCCTTCCAGTTTTTGTTGTTTTATCCTAAACTAAAATTAAGAAACTAATAAATATATTTCGGTACGAAACAATCTACAATAGTTTTTCGCAGGCAACCCTACCTTGCGCGAAACGCGTTTCAGCCGGTACGCTAACGGTCAATGATCTACTGACCTTGGGAGTTTCAGACGTTTCAATGGCACGCACTCACACCGTCGCGTAACCGACTAACAATAACCTCATTTGTTGTATTCAGAAGTCTGTATTTATGTTGAAACAAAGTAGTATGTAAAGAAACCATTTATAGAGTTCGTTATTTATTGATTTGTTAATATTTACTTTTTAATTGAATAGAGCGTTCACATGTAGCCTATTCTATCACACATTTCATTTGGAGTTAAGTATAAGGGCAACTGTATATCAAATTTTGGTATCAAGTAGTCGTATAAAGGTAACTTTTGACAACTTTATACATCAGTAAAAAAAATGTTTTGGACCACGTTTTAAAATTCTTAATATAAGTAGCCGTGTAATGCCGGTAGAGTATAATAATAAATAAATAAAAAATGTATTTATTGCCTTCGAACCATTAATAGTAATAGGACCACTCCCTTTCCCACTTTTCCCGTAGATGTCGTAAGAGGCAGTACGGGAAAATTTTTAAAAAAATTTAAATTTTTAAAATTTTTAATATGTAAACATATCCTTAAAAAAAAACCTCCCCAACCAGTCTAGCCAGCGTGGGGAGTGTAGGTCAAATCCTCTATTTTCCTCTGGTAAAGTAGAAAAGGCCTTTGTCCAACAGTGGACGTCTTTCGGCAGAAACGAACTAACTAACGAAAGTAAAAAAGGCCCTGCTCCCACAGTGGAGAATAAAAAAATCTCTTACATGCCGGTGAAAACATCTAACAAATAACCACGTGCCTACAATAGCCACATATTTTCTTTATCTAAAACAGACATAAATCTTCGCAGTTTTCTAATTGAAATATTATTTATTTGTACCACTCGCTTCGATAGTGTTGTAACAATTTAAAAAATATTTTCGGGACAGATTTAACAACTCGAACTGTCCCACTATTTGGCACATGCTTAAGTTAAGTATATAACGTATATTTCGATTATTGTTATGTGACTGTGCAAATAATTAGGTATAGATCAAGTAAGTGTGTCACTGACTTTTAAATTTTGCACATTTTACACCGAACTATCGAGCAGCTAAATCAATGTCAAATAATTAAATAAGCATTATTTCAAGTTGTAATTTGAGATTTTTGTATCGGAATCATATTTATATTGGGACACTTAAAAGACTGGATACTAGGATTACATTACATGACATTGACATGCCGTGGCATCCTATAATTTAGGCAGCACTTAAATTGCGTTCAAAAACATTGTGAATATTGTTTTAGTCTTGTTGGTTGTCCTATTAAATAATGCTTCAACCACACCAATGCGTGCAGATCGCCATCGGCGCCGGCGCGATCAAAGGCCAATGACAGGTCGCGCGACCCATGACAGTTCACGCGATTTGTCATTTCCCTATGATCGCGCCGCGATAGTATCTGCACGCGTTGGTGTGGTTGAATTGAAGCATAAGAGACTTGGTCAATGTCTTTTTCATCTTATCGGGACGTCCCAAGCATATCGGGACACCTCACACCCACATCACTACAGCCGATACGTTTCACATTCATCGCCTACATTCATCCCGATCGCGTTACGGGCTTGTGCAAACAAATGCGTTTTATTTTTAATGGCGGATCGAGAAATTGAGATAATTCGATTCGGTAAACGATTCTATTTCATTTTTGATGTTTTGATGTTGAAATCCGATTTTACGGTTTTGGATGGTAAATGTGTGCGATTTATTGTATTTGGATGTTTAAATATGAAAAAAGAGAGAGATTTAGGTTCTTTCACATCTTAAACCTTTCATCATCATCATCTCAGCCATATGACGTCCACTGCTGAACATAGGCCTCCCCCAATGCTTTCCATGTTGCCCGGTTGGTAGCGGCCTGCGTCCAGCGCCCTTCTGCTACCTTAAACTTTTCGCATTAGGTAATTCATGATTTTAGGTCTGCCCACGCTACGTCTTCCAGCTCGTGGTCGCCACTCAAGAACTTTCCTGCCCCAGCGGCCATCAGCTCAACGAGCTATGTGCCCCGCCCACTGCCACTTGATTTTAGCGATTCTGCGGGCTATGTCAGTCACATCTGGTTCTCCTACGGATCTCCTCATTTCTGATTCGATCACGCATGGAAACTCCGAGCATAGCACGCTCTTTGGGTGACCTTGAGGCAAACGGATGATTACTGATAATTAACTCCCTTATACTCTAGAAGGTTTTCAGTAAAAAAACATAACTCTCGCGCAGTCGGGTAAAAAATTTACTCGTTTCTCATAAAAGACGTCGTATTAAAATCGTAGTAGGTACGCGACTTTTTACGACCCCGTTTAAGCCGTGGGTGCGATCGTTAAATGTTTTATAGCTTGTTTTTTGTAATCAAAACTAATTACCGAAAACCAAAATAAATGAGGTTTTAATTAACAATCGTAAAAGTAAGTGCGGCGGTAAAAAACTTGCTGATGAAAGTTAGTACGTACCAAGTTCAATTTAGTGTTAGATAACTTTCTATAAATGATTGTCTTTTTGAAAATAATTGTTTAAAAAATTAGCTGAGTTTCATAGTAGTTAGAAGATTTTTAAACTCTACAATTTAAATAATATACTCGTAGTTTTATGTATACTGTAAAGTGCATTAGTGTTGTTTTCTCTACGTCAATTTTATCAGAAAATTTCTTAGGCTAACCTTATCTTTAACCGTAACTAATAAATAAATAATCTTTGGACAATTTCACACAGCGCCAGCTAGCCCCAAAGTAAGCAACTTAATGCTTGTGTTATGGGTGCTAGCTTAACGGATATACTACTTATATACTTTTTTTTTTAAATACATAAATATTATACATAGTCACACCCAGACCCGTCATAGAAATTAAAATTCATCATTTCAATTTCTGCCCGGCCGGGAATCGAACCCGGGACCTCTCGACATAGTAGTCTGTTCTGAACCACTACACCAAACGGCCGACTATAACCATAATCGGAGTTTTTGAATGGGGTTTGATTGACTTTTGACGTTTGTTATTAGTAAATGTACGAGGGAGCAACTCAGCCTTAATTTATTTATTTGTCAAATAGATATGAAAGTTTATGTGATTAGGCATTTACTTGATTGCTGCGACACCGGCCCCGCCCCCTTGTCACATCTCCCTTTAGTTTCTGCGATCTGTGTTATAGGTATAGTCTGGTCCGGGAGCACGTAGAATTTTGTCCAATGACCCCAAGCTACCCATCCTTATCGCTCGCGCGGAATTATATTGCTGTCGCGCTCGCACACTCATTGCGGGCGTCGCACAGTCTATAGGCTATAGGCACTTACTTATTTCTACCGCCACGCATATCTACTTAGAAACAAAAATAACTCTTTTACGCAACTCTGTCAACGGCAAATCATTAATAACTGTGAAATATAAAGTAATAAAACCCGACCATACCACCGTTGTCTAAGCCCGGGTGTGGCCCCAGAGTGCGTGTTTATTTACGGGCGTTTTTATTTAATGGCCAGTGAACTGGAGCGGGTGCGGCCACGAAATTAGCGGAGAAAAAAATAAAAAAATTGTCGAATATACTTCTAGAGTAAGAGCTAGTGAACGCCAGACCTACGTCATTTTATAAAAGCTGAAAGTTGGTCAGCGTATGCTCCCAATATAGGATATAATGTTGGTGAATTATGAAGTTTGGGTCATCGTGGCTTTGGGAGCTACCCTAAAAGAACTGTCTGGCAAGGAGTTGGAACTGTCAAAACTGTCTGGTTGTTGGGGAAAATACTTCTAATTATTGCCCAAATATTATACATAAATTATAAATTATCAGATTTAATGGTATAACGTTAGTCTATTGAATATACAGAAAAAGCCACCGTAAAAGTTAGACTTACGTTATACCATAAAATCTGGCAATTTTTTCAACTTCGGACGCGGTTTTAAACCGCTATTTGTGTGGCCCAACCTTCTGACGACGTGAAAAAACACACAACTTCATTTTTATGGCCCGCTCTATTTTCTTTAAGGGGTTTTCATAAATATTGCTCTATTTTTCATTGCTACTGAATTAGTATTAGCACTCTACTGGCAACGACATAAGGTTCATTTTAGATGTTTTTCTAAGCGTACGCTGGTGACAAGTAATTGGGCTACTTGTTCTTGAGTGCTACTTTATTTAGGAGAAACAAAATGTACTGTACAGTCATCACTTTTGTGGAAAAATAGCACATATTGCAAGTGAATAAGAAGTTTCAGTGATAGTTTCATGTACCGTCGTTTGTACATGATAAAGAAAAATGGAATAAAAAACAGTACTTTTCACTTTGTAAAGAACTTTGCGAAAATATTAATATTTACAGGCGTAATATCAGGCCAATTTGCTTTTATATTTTGTGCAAATCGTATTATGTAAACAAGTGTTTAAGGCAGGCGATTTATCAGCGTCACAAAAAGGTTTTGATGAATTTTAATAACGGTCCTATTTGAGTAATTTAAAACTATATTTTAGAAAATCATATTACTGCTAATGTACCAGACGGCGAACGAAATAAATAAAATATGTACGTTCTTATATTATTAAAATAAAACCTAATTCTTCTTACTACAAATACCCAGAACGAATTATATTATCTGAACAAATCATTAGCTTCACCTCTTACCATAGAAAAGAAACATTATTGAAAAAATTATAGCCCTAAAATTTAGTACCTAAATAGTACCCTCAAATAAAGTATTTAATTCTTAAATAACTGTTATTATAGCACCATTAAAAAGGATATTCAACCATCGCCTGGACGCCATTTTTCTTGAATACCACGATCCTCTGTACTTGCCCGTGGGGTGTGCTAATTGTGTGTATGACGTCCTGTAACAAGGAAAAACATTACCTATTAGTAAATAGTAAAAATAAAAAAGTTAGCCTGAAAACATAACATGGGACAATTCAGAGGTAGGTAACCCTTAAAACCTTTGGTTTTAAACCTTTGTTTGTCACCTGTCATCCGCTTTGCAATGGAGGGAAGTCGAACCTTAATTTCGAACTCCTCCTATGTTCTTCTGATTAATTTCGTTGCGGGTCCAATGACAGTTTAACTTTGACCAACTTGACCTTCATTGGTTGGGTTTTTGTGGCGGTCAAGCTGTAGATCCTGGCTACACAGGAGTTGCAGTGGTGGGAACGAGAGGTGGGAATAGTCTTTGTAGGTAACCCTTAAGTTTTGGCAAAAACAAATGTTTTAGAATGTAGTATAATTTAAAAAGTTTGCCTGAAGACCTATAGGGCAATTCTCAATTACCACTAAAGCTTTGGGATTATATAATGTTTTAATTTAATCTTAATCTTAATCTTACATAACATAATTATGTATGTGTATAAAGTTAATAAAATAATTCTTAAAGATAGTGAAAGACTTGTGCCTGAACTAGCGAAAAATAGCTTGTATTTCAGTGCACTTATTCTATGGGCAATATGGGCATTAAGCCATAAATTTATTTAAATTGACATAGACAATATCGTTCGTTTTCAGACAAATACTATAGACAATATACAATATACAGACATACATATAGACAATATATAGACAATATGTAGACAATATACAGGTACTTATACCTAAACATTAATAAGAGATATAGCTTTAAAAATAGCAGAACACAATAAGCTGTCCATTAAAAAGAAACTAATAACATTTTATTATAGAGCCATTCGGACCAATAAGGCTGTGCCGTTTGTTTAATACAATTCCAGCAAAAAATTCTTTGTCAAAGAAGGCAATAATTGTAATAAGCGACTCGTCTTCGAGATTGTAGTATAAAGGAGGTTGATTCAGAAAGTCCAATTATACAGGACGATGTCATTAAGACTGGTCTTCTACGCCGTAGGCCGCGTCACAATGCTTACTATAAAAATGTACTGATATGGTTTTCTTCAGGCGTTGTCGTCAATAGAATGCTTCTGATGCTGACGTCAGCATCTGACGATCCTATCGAGAGCGTATAGCGCTTAGGAGACTGTAGCCCAAGTTAGTAAAAAACTTAAAATTGAATACGTATAAAATTAGGTTCCGCAAATTTGACTGGTCCCGCCGGCAGAGTAAAAAGGGACCACTCCCTCATTCCGTGGAAGTCGTTAGAGACATACCCTCTATTTTGACCTTTGGTAGATCGAGGGCGCATCCTTCTGCAGTGGAGACTAGGTAAATGACCTGTTTAATGTGATCGTTAGTATTTACAGTTTTGTACCGGAAAGCTCAGCGTGTGACGTCCACCCACAAGGTGGACAGACTACCTCAATGAGGTAACCTCATAAAGTAGCAGGAAGGCGCTGGATGAAGGACGCTACCAACCGGTCAATAAGGAAATCACTGGACAGCATTGGGCGTTCTGTGGCTGAAATGATGATGATGTTTAACTCTCTACTTTCGAGCAAGCCTACTCTTCGCATTTTTATTGTGATTGTAATAAATGAAATGCGTCTGTTTGTATTCCAGCCCCGGTGCAGAATGACGACACTTTTGCTAAACAGAAAGTAGAGAAGTCATTTAGTGAGGGAAGAAATGAAATGACATTATTTATCATGGAAACTGGAGTATTGGCTAGATATAAGAATGCCTAAAATATTCAGTTAAATCAGTTATTAAATTTTCTAGCATTAAGAGTTGGATCTCAAACTAAATCTAAACTAATATTCTATTCTAATATTGTAAATGCGAAAGTAACTCTGTCTGTCTGTCTCACTTTCACGCCTAAACCACTGAACCGATTTTGATGAAATTTGGCATAGAGATAGTTGGAGTCCGGGGAAAGGACATAGGATAGTTTTTATCCCGGTTTTTGAAACAGGGACGCGCGCGATAAAGTTTTTCTGTGACAGACAAAATTCCACGCGGGCGAAGCCGCGGGCGGAAAGCTAGTTATAAATAACTTGAAAAATCGAACTGCCCAAGGCGGGAATCGAACCCACGACTGTCGTAGTCGTGTGAATCGAGAGGTCGTTGCGATGGTGCGTGCGTACATTTTGTATTGATGTGATCTGACAATCTGACAGTGACAGAACTCAAACTGACAGTTGCGGGCTGCGTTCACTTTGACCTGACTGTAGACCGCAGAACGCAAAGTGTGACAGTGTGACAAATGCTTTAAGCAGATAGAAGTATTTGGAAGTAACTTTGATTCCTCAAAACAGTTAAAATCTTATTAGTCCCTAAAGCTAAAAGTAGTCTCTTACAATTGTCCCATCTTACTTTTCTAAATGGAGACTCCTTCCAGCCTTACTTATTACGTGGAGAGCGCACTTTTCTTACTTAATACCGGTTTATGGCAGCACTAATTGCTATATAGTGCCGCCAGGCGGCGCCTGTGTGCCTGGATTGCCTTTTATATACTTTATGAAGTTAAGAAAAGGATATTTTAAGATAATTACCCGGTAAAGAAAGGAGCTTTGTGCATAGTTTATGCTTTTCAGTAAAAAGAGTTTCTCTTGGTTTATTAAAAGTGACTTTAGATGAAGTAACTGCTTGCTTCTGAAATATATTGTGGTGACGACGGACAACTACGAAACCACGACAAGCACTTGGTAAACTGGTTGTAAATTATAAGTAGGTAGTAATTTTTATACCAATCTATACTACCTATATATTATAAGGCTGAAGAGTTTCTTCGTTTGATTCAAAGCGCTTATTTCAGGAACTACTAATCCGAATTAATTTTGTGTTGGATATCGAGTAAGGCTATACTTATGCCTATGCATTGTGGTAAAAAAAAAAGAAAAGAACAGAAAAATTTTCGATTGGCGACCACGGGCTGGAAGACGTAGCGTGGGCAGGCCTCCTAATATGTGGACCGACGATTTGGTAAATGTCGCGGGAAGAGCCTGGATGCGTGCGGCGCAGGACCGTGCATTGTGGAAAATCTTGGTGGAGGCCTTTGTCCAGCAGTGGACGTCATTTGGCTGAAATGAACGAACGAACGAATACATATAGGTATAACAATTTCAAGAGCATATTCACTCTCGCCTTTAAAATACCCGGATTATAGTCTTCGGGAAAGACAGCAGCAGGTAGCGAATTTCAGCCCAAATACCTGTATTATAATATCCCTTATAAGGATGTTCACTCTTTGCAATTCACCCTGTATAGGTGATAGAGTGATAAAAGTAGTATCTACATCTCATTAAAGACTAAACAGATAAACTAAAACTTGCCTTTTAGCTAGTTTTGAGCCATCCAAAACAAACTTGCACCGCTTGAAACTGCATCTGTCTGGAGTTAGAGATTTAACTGCTGCAGTTAGTTCGAGCTTAAGATCGGCTTTTGGACAGGACAGTACAAACTGGGAACTACCAAACTAGTGGGTAGTAATCCAGGCCACAGTAGCGCAATGGTTTTGGTGCCATTCGAGAGTCGAAAGATCGCTGGTTCGATTCTTTTTGACCGCTGGAGTGTTGTGGTGTCCAAAAAATCTTCAGCAAAAAAAGAAAAAAAGCTTATAATAAAAATCCAATACCTACATACTCTACATAGGCTGTACCTAAGGGACTTCACACAAACGATGCTTGCTTAAGTGAAGCAGTAAATCGAACGCACAGCGTTGAATAGAGCTTTGTGATTGGTTCGTGTGCCACCCTGTGCGTCGACGCGCACTGTGAGACCTCATAGTAATGTTTGTGAACACGGGCGTTAAGGTTCAAAGTTAAATTGTTTGAGATTTTAGAGTCTAGCTAGAACTAGACACTATAAAATTCAGTTTTGCTAATTGTATTTAATTTCCATTGGAATAATATACTTCCACTTATAATATTAGTACGGATTAAACTATTAATCATTCCAATGATAAACAAATAACCAAGAAATTCTACATAGTACCAATGACATTTAATAAAATGGCACAAAAGAGAATGGCGACCAGGCGCTTACATGTGTAGGATGTGGATAATATGCATTTATATCGACAGTGGAATAAACCGTACACTTGCGGACAAATTTTTTGGACAGATATAGAAAAAAACATCAAATACATAGTATACCTAAAATAAAGTCGCTTGCCGCTGTCTGTCCCTATGTATGATTAGATCTTTAGAACTACACAACGGATTTTTATGCGGTTAATAGATAGAGTAATTCAAAAGGAAGGTTTTAAGTATACTTAGCTCCCGGGTGAAACCGGGGGAATTTTAAGGATACTATTGAAATTAAAATTAAATATTACGCAACGTTGTCTTATTAAAGAGACATTAAATTTGAGTACGTAATACGAACAAATAATCTTATTCCTAGTGAACAAATAAGGAAAGCTTTAGAACAATTTTATTAAAAGAGTTTAACCAATACCTAGAATTGTAATTACCTTAGTTTTATTGGATAAGTATACGAATACAAGCTTTATGATTAATTAAAAGCTATTCAAAACATTCCCAGAATACCTAACCCCTTCTTATCATAAGTAAATAATTAAACAATATCAAATAAAGGAGTTGTTTCCAAGATTCAAACTGTCACAAGCAAAATACACTTGAGCGAGCATTAAAATCAACATTTATTTACAAAGCAAACTTCGAAAACCCCCAACATTAGTCAATCAAGAATTTACATCAGAAAATTCCAAAAGCAATTTGACATTCGCAATTGAATCACCCCGGTCCAGTCGGGAACAACAATGTCGTTTAATTAAACAATTTTCAAGGGATCTCGTAAAAACATTTGAGAGCAAATTAAAATTTGCAAAACTTGAGCGCGCACTTGCCAGTGAACTACATTGTAAAGTTTTGAGATGTAGTAGCGGCGTAATTGCTATGGAACTATTATTTGAAAAAGTATTTGAGAGAGAAATATTGTTTTTAAATGTAGATGACTTTTCAGTCCATAAA